AGTATAAATGTGCAAAGAAAGCAGAGGCCATGATAAGAAAAAAAATTAATAATTCCATCACCTCCCATGTCTCTTACTTTTCCCATCATCCTCCTCCTCCTCCTCAGCCTGGCAATGGCTGCAGCCGTGGAGCTCAGGCTAGGATACTACTCAAAGACTTGCCCAAAAGCAGAAGCTATAGTCAGGAATGTGATCGCCAAGAACATGGAAAGAGAACCCAGAAGCGCTGCCTCAGTCATGCGCCTACAATTCCATGATTGCTTCGTTAATGTATGTAATATGAGAAACTTTCAATTCAAAGAAGCCACGAACCTTTTTCTCAAGTGTAAATTCAATTTTTGTGTTCCAGGGATGTGATGCTTCAGTCCTGTTGGACGACACAGAAAGCATGGTGAGAGAGAAACTCTCTTTGTCCAATATCAACTCACTCAGATCTTACGAGGTTATTGATGAGGCTAAGGAAGATGTCGAGAGAGCCTGCCCAGGTGTCGTTTCTTGTGCTGACATCTTGATCATGGCCGCAAGAGATGCTACTGTCCTGGTAATTAATTAATAATCAAACTTCATGCTCTTTCATTTTTAAGTTGGCTCTAGCTCTTTGGAACTTGGAAGATACCAGTTACTGAACTTGGAAGGAGGAGAGCAATTTGGGGATAAATAAAAGAAAACCTACAACTCAATTAGTTTATCCAGAAATCAATTTGTTGGTATTCATGGAGTAGATTTAAACAGACTGAAAATGAAGCTATGTGTATTAGAAGAAGAAAAAAAGCATACATCAATTTTTTCGTACATCAGTTATCTGTAGTTAACTGATGGAACGTGAGAAAATAACTTTCTTAACCCTTTGTTGTTCTTTTCCCTAGCATATTTTTAGATTAAAAAATACAATTGGTCTCTAAAAGAGAAAAGAGAATCATATTTTCATCTCTGTATCTTCACAGTAACAACTAACAAAAATCAAGCGTAAATAAATGCACATCTCTCCAGTCTTGATAGCTCCAACAGCAAGTATACAAATATTCTAGTATTAGCTTTGTTTCATTGGAGTGTCAGTTAAACAGCATGAGTCTTAAGGCCCAAAATGCATTTACTAATAGTTCCACAGTTTTCTGGGCACAATGGGAAGAACTCTAGCGATCTCTAGGCTATGTATAGTTCGATTGTTCTGTTTTCTTTTTCCAACTCCAGTTTTGTATGATATGATATTTTGGTTTCCATATTGCATAGAAAAATGTAGCAATTTCCCAGCTCCATTTGCATTTGACTATTTGCTTCACCAGGTGGGTAACTAAACATGTTTTGGAAAATAGAAAACTTTGGAAAATAGTGCAACTAAACTGGCAGGTTTCTGTTTCTAAAAATAAGAAGAGCATGCAACAAAACATGTTTTGAGTATTTCTAAATCCTTTTTCCCACTTGCTGGGAATAGAAAAATAATAATAGGTTCCCTAAGAAAAAGAAAACAATAAAGATTTGCCTGTCATGACTCACAGAGTGGAGGGCCAATGTGGGATGTAAAGTTGGGAAGGGTAGACAGCTTAACAGCAAGGCAACAAGACTCAGACAGCATCATGCCAAGCCCAAGGTCAAACTCAACCCACCTCATTGATCTTTTCAGCAGATTCAATCTATCTGTGAAAGATCTAGTGGCACTTTCGGGTTCTCATTCCATTGGCAAAGGAAGATGCTTTTCAATCGTTTTCCGGCTATACAACCAATCCGGTTCAGGGAAACCTGACCCAACCATGGAGCCAAAATTTAGAGCCAGGCTGCAAAAGCTATGCCCACCTGCAGGCGGTGATGGGAATGTAACGGGAGACTTGGATGCCACGGGGGTGGTATTTGACAATCAATATTTCAAGGACTTGGTCGACGGGAGAGGATTTCTAAACTCGGACCAGAGCCTCTTCACCACCCCCCAGACCAGGGGTTACGTCACGGAATTTAGCCAAGACCAACACGAGTTCTTCAATGCATTCGTTGAAGGTATGATAAAAATGGGCGACCTGCAATCACGTCTGCCTGGTGAGATTAGAAGAAACTGCAGGGTGGTAAACAGTCTTCTAAAAGGCACACATCAGCTCAGCGGCTAGGCAGGCGGCAAGACCGGGAGTAGTCCGATGATAAAGTCGTCACATTTAATAATATATTATACATACCCATTTAACTTCATTACTTCTATCATTTGCAATGGAGCCAAAGATTCACTAGTTTTTGGCTCGTGAATATGAGGGAATAAAGCAAAATGACTCACTAAACTGTTTGCGCTTCTTTGTAATGAAGCAACAGTCAGCTCATGCAATTTCTGACGCGATTTTCGCCATGGGTCATCCGAAAACAGTCTCTATGTGCTTTTCGTACATGGGTAAGACTGCGTACATCCGACCCCCCCTTACCCCACCGCAGGTGGAAGCCTTTGCGGCACTGGGGTAATGATGATGATGACCCATTTAACTTCATTATGTAGTATTATGTGCAAATATGTATAGTTTTTATATAAATCTACATCTAGTAGCTTTCTTGATAAAAATGGTGGTACTAAATGAAAATGAGGACAATGCCTTTTTATTGAATATACAATACCTTTATACCTGCTTTTAGCCCCGATAAACTCCTTATTTTAAAAAAGAGTAGCTCTTGGGGAAAACACGACACCCGACCTCTTCCATGATCACGAGTTCAAAGGACTCTTGTACATTCACCCACACCCGAGCAATATAAAGATTCAATATGACAATATCACTTTGTATTATACAATTGAAATGTAACAAGAGAGCTTTACTAGTAAACGAGTAGCTCATCTCACTCTTTGTATATAAAACTACTTCACTCTCACTCTCTCTCAAAGAGGCTTTCACTCACTAAAGAGTCTCTCCTCAAGCCCGTCTCTCATCACTCAAGAAGGCTCTCACAATGCACTCTCTCAAGGCTCTCACTCAGAAATGAGGAGCCTCTCCCCTATTTATACTAATCTCCTCAAAGATTCTCAAGAACTTTCTGTGCACCACTACACTTGTAGAGTCTTCCAAGAAGTATTCACAAGCTTCTCTAATCTTCTAGAAGGATCTAGAAAACTACACACTGCTTTAGAATGTTCTAGAGGCTTTCGCACACTTTCACATGATTCCTGAAAATTCCACACTTATCTAGATAACTCCACAATGTTCTAGCATATTCTACACTCTTCAACACACTTTTAGAGAATTGCAGAACTCTCTATAAAGTTTCAGAATATTATAGGACATTCAATACTTCTCTACACATATCAAGAGAATTCTAGATATCTCCGCGGCATTTACTAGAATTCTCATGAATTTCTCAATTAAGAAAAGAACCCAACAATAGCAAAAATAAAAATGATATGTATATAAATTATAATTGAATCTAAATGAGATAAACTCGACCTGATATTAAAAAGTATGATCATTCATTGAATACTTAGGATATAGTTATATCAATGTTAGTGGTTTCAAACAATAGCCAAGACAAAATTTATCTAATCATAAATAAAGAATAAGAGTAATTGTTGATTCTTCTTTAGAAACGAATGAATGTTATTTTCATGGCGAAGTAGTTAGAATTGTATTTGACTAATATTTTTTATTTTAATACTGCGTATTATGTATGAAATTTAACCCCTTTTTAATCGTGTAATTGTAATGGTCAGCAAACTATTCATGTATGAATCCATTTGGTAACTTAGACCTGTTTTATTTAATGATATTGACGTAACTCTTAAAGCCATTATAAAGAAAAGAACTGCTTATAGTTTTAAAGAGATATTTAGTGAATTAAGTGTGACATACCGTTGTTAAATTTTGCAATACAGAAATGCATTAAAAATATTACATTCTTGCTGTAAATGTAATCACATAATTTTTTTAGGCTAAATCATATACATAATGAATTACTCCGTATAAGTTTAAATTACATGAGTTAGTGCCCCTGTTACATACTACGTACTTCGTATATTTGTAATCCGTCGCAGCCTTGCATCATGAGGAAATTCATCTACCACTTGCCCAATATTGATATTTTCTCATGCAATTGCACCGGAAGTGAGATTGTTGTGTTGAGCTCTCAAGTTCAATTCCTGAAACGATACCGAAAGAATTTCATCTCCAATGTAGTGGTTCCTTGTGTGCACGAGGTCCTAAAGTCTAAACCACCATAGGGTTGTAAACGAATCGAATCGAGTCGATTAATGAGATTTTGTATTTGTATTTGTATAATTTTTTCGAATACGAATTCGAATTCAAATATGAAACGAATATTAATTTCGATTTGTATTTGTATTTGTTTAACAATACGAATAGTTAACGAATCTTATACGAATGTCGAATCGATTTGAGCATAAATTAAATATTAGTCAAATATCACTTTAAAATAACTTTTCTTATACTCCCTACTTTTTATGCTGTAAATGCATGCTATGACTTTTTTTTTTTTTTTTTTTGCAAATGCATGATACGACTTAATATGTGTTTTTAGAATTTAAATTTAATGGATCAAAGCATTTTTAGATGGTGGACAATATACTAAAGTGAATTAACTTTATGATTAATAAATATAAATCTATTTCAAACTTTTAGAATTAAAACAATAACACACACATTAGAAATTATACTTATAATGTGTGAAATAAGTTGATAATTGTATATATATCAAAGTCAAATAACTCTAATTTTATTCTTCGAATCGAATACATAATTATTTGTACTGTATTGTATTTGAAAGACATTTGAACCAACAAATTGATTTGTATTCATATTTATATTCTGGTTTATTACAAATGGGCTTGGAATCTGTATGAAAAAATGTATATATGGGCTACAATTTGAGGGTATTGTTATCTTTTAAAAGTTATTATAGTGTTATTACTATTATTATTAATATTGATATTAATATCACCATTATTATTAATCGAATATATTTGATTAATATTCGAATCGAATACACTGATATTCTTATTTGTATTTGATAACAACTCGAATCAAATTTAATATTCTTATTTGTATTTGTATTTGAATTTTCCGAATTCGAATCGTCTTATACAAATTCGAATCGCGAATCGAGCACAAATTATTTGATTCTTTTACAACCCTACTGGCACCATACTCAGAATTGTTTGAGAGGGACGTCTAGGGTGGACGATTCCACCATTTATCATGCAACAAAAATATCTATCAGCGGACAATCACTATTGACCTAGTCTGCCCCAAAATCATTACAAACCAAATCCAGCCTCCGTTACACATTCAACTTGCTTAAGTAGGCCGATTAATCCATCTAGTAAAGAGTAAATTTCTTGGGAAGCCGGATGACAAGTAGTGCAGGCAGAAAATTGATGAACTGTCTTTTCCACTTCAATCCAACTGGATCCTGGAAACTCCTTTTCAACACCAGATGCCTTCAAATCCGCTCTGATCCTTGACACTTCAGGCCATGTATTTGCTTCAGCATACATACTAAGTAGAAGGGCGTAATTTCCAGTACTGTTTGGTTCCAAGATGGTCAAATTGTCAAGGGCAATTCTGGCCATGTCAAAGTTCTTATGGGTCCTGCAACCACCCAGCAAAGCACCCCAAATAACAGCATTAGGTTCCATTCGCATTCTCTTTATTACTTCAAAGGCCTCTTCTAACAAACCAGATTTACATAAAAGATCCACCATGCAACCATAGTGTTCCACTCTCGGAAGAATTTTATATTCAAAGGTCATGTCAAAGAACCGCCTTCGACCCTCTTCAACCAATCCAGCGTGACAACAGGCTGAAAGAACACTTACAAAGGTAACACTGTTTGGCCTTATGTTTTCTTTCTCCATCCTATCAAACATTGCCAATGCTCCCTCCGCATAGCCATGAACTGCAAGCCCATCAATCACAGAGTTCCAACAGAAAAGATTCTTTTCCTTCAGCTTCAAGAAGACCACTAGTGACCTCTCCAAGCTCCCACACTTTGCATACATGTCTACTAAAGCAGACCCGATATAAGAGTCAAGATCAAACCCATTTTGGGTGATATATAGATGCATTTCCCTGCCATAATCCAGGAATCCAATATGGGCACAAGCTGAAACGATAGTTGTCATGGTCACTTCATCCGGTTTAATCCCTTGTTTGTTCATATCCTCAAAAAGTTCTAAAGATTTCATATGCATCTTGTTATGACTATAACACTTGATCATTGTAGTCCACGAGATCAAATTCTTCTGTGGCATCTTATTGAACAACAGCTCAGCAGATTCAACATCACCAACACTAGCATAGCCGTGAATCATGGTGTTCCAAGAAGCAGTATTTTTCTCAGGCATTTTATCATACACCTCCCTGGCGGAACTCATATCCCCCTCACGCACCAGGGCTGAAACCATTGCACTCCACAAAACACTATCTTTCCCTCTTTCAGGAATTCCATCAAACAGTAACCTGGACTCAAACACCTTGCCAAGATTGGAATAGAAATCCACCAAACATGTCAAGACATGAACATGTGATTCGAACCCATGTTTGCAAACCTGTCCGTGAACAGATTCTCCCGCCTCTAAAGCCCAGAGTAAAGTACAACTTTTAACAATCGAGGAAAACGCGTAGCTGTTTGGGCTAAACCGGGCCTCCAGCATTTCAGCATACAATTCTAAAGCTCTGAGCGGTCGGTTGGAATGGACAAATGACCGCATCAATGCCGTGTAAGCGAACACGGTGGGAATTCCCATTTGAGACAAGATGTGAGTGGCGAAATCGGCATCATAAACAGCAGATGCAACGATGAGCCGATTCAAAAGTAAGCAGTCTTTGCTTAAACCCAATATGGTGATCAATCCGTATAGAGATTCGAAATGCTTGGGAGCTGATAATTTGTTAAGCAGGTTGTGAACAGAGACCGAATGGTTATTCTGCAATACGAAACCTGTGAGCCGGCCACCGCTGATAATGAATGCGTAAACGGATTGAAGCTGCTGGGAACCCGAAGTTTTATTCGCAACAGAAATGGGGTTGTTCTGTTGCACAACTAATCTTCCGACTGAGGTCACTGCCTTTCCCATCTACTATTGTTCACATACTTCAGTATGGGGGAGGTGGGGTGCTGATTTCCAAATTATCCATTTGAGAAGAACACGGTTCTAGACTTCAATTAACACCTCAACTCAATTAAAAAGTCTAACTTGAGACATTCAAATCAGTTTTCTACCCGATTATTGAGTACATGCGGCCAAGGTTTCTCATTGAGTAAATACGGAGTATCATTTTTTGTGTATAACTTCAAAACCCAAATCCAAATCCAACAGATTTCTTATCTCTTTGGCAACCAAGCCTTACCTCACCCTCGTAATAAATCGACCAACTTTACAAATGCGTAATGGCTTAAAAATTCGGTGGAGAAAACACAAAAAATATAGTTGGGGTGAGAGAGGCTCGAACTCTCGACCTCAGGATAACTCAGAAGCTATGAGACCTACGCGCTAGCCAACTGCGCCACCACCCCAAGTTGCTACTTTTTAATCTTTATTCTTTAAGAACCTTTAAAACGATTATACGTATGCTTTTCAAACATCTTAGTTTATAGGGACAACTAATTCTAATACCCCAAATATTGAATGATACTAAAGAAATCACCCTAAACTTGCATATGTGATATAAATATCTTGAACTTTGTATAAAATGTTATAATAGCATCGTGATAATATGATTTGTTTTCACAAGCAAATTTATGGTAGTATTAAATACATAATTTAAATGCATTTATCGTTTATAAGAGTGTAGTTAACAATTTTAGCATTTATTTATGAAATAACTAATATTGCCTCGTATATATATAATTGCAACACTTTTTATTTGATATTTACCAATACATGCATGACTTTGACTATTAGTATTGATATTTAAAAAGCCATATTTAAAATTTTAATATAATCCAGGACAAACTTTAGAACGTATATAAGAAAATCAAAGTAGCGTGTGCGAATAATGTGAAATCAAATATATTAATAATGAAAGTTGTATCATGAGAAATAGCAAATTAAAAGCATTACAATTATATAGACCGGGATAATATTATTTATTTCACAATGGAAGTTGAAAATGTTAATTGCATCTTCACGAATGCTAAATATTTTAAATTGTGTATTTAACACCATAAATTTTAGGTATTTGTGAAAGAAAAAATATATTATCAAGATGCATTATGGTTGAACGTAGACATCGCCATATGTTAAATATTTCACGTGCTTTGCATTTTTAAATCACCTTTCTATTATTTTTTGTTCGACTGAGGGCCCTTTTGTGATGCAGCCTGCTGCTACTCTTGCATGTCTGAGATTACTATTTGCCTAGGCTAAGGACCTTCATTGGCTTAAAGGTTGGGTTCACATAATTAGGCCGAAGGAGATACCTGAACTGGTGGAATTTCTTGAGTTTGTGGACTGTTTTGGACACTAAATCACGGTTTCTCCCGCACAAATCGTGATATTTTGTGTGGATCTTTTGATCTACATTTGACATATCTTCTCGCCCACCCAATGCATGTTGGTGGGGGTGGGGTGTGTGTGAATGATTGAATGCTAGTGTAGGTTAGTTTAGCTAGCTTAGATAGTTTATTCTTGATGCATGCATTTTGTTAATTTTGGTCGTTTTGGATGCCTTTTTAATATACATACATTTCATAAAAAAAAACCGGGAAGGATGTTTATTATTTACTCATACTTTAAAATCTAAGGGCGATACATTTACGAAGCAGAACAGAAAGTGTGCGTTTGTCGATAATCTCTTTGAGAAAAGAGGTGGTGGGGTTTTGATCTTGAAATCGAAAAAATCTTTGTTACTCAAGACGTGAAATTATTTGAGGATTCATTTCCCAATATTGTGTCCTTACCCGACATCTCAGCCCCACTTGAGTATCATGAGGATCCAGTCATATATGAGTTTTCGGGTGACCCTGCTCCGGATTCTACCAATATCCTTCATCAACCACACAATGGATGTCCCATCATCTCCTATTCTCCTCGACTCCTCCTACAAGTGCAGGGGTGATTGGCATAGCAAATTCTGTCATCCCCAAACCATAAGCATTTGTGCTTGGTCACGACATGCAACACCGACAACCTTTTGTTGCTTTGCTTGATTAAGTTACTCATACTAGCGGTACACCCGTGTAACGCACGACTAAAATAATTTCCAAACAAAATAGTAAAAGTATGATAGATGTATTACCTTTATAAGAGAATTATTGATCTCACATTCTCAATTGTTTTATAATCAAAATAAGTAAGGTTGAGGAATTTTTCTAGTTGAATTGACTAAAATTACTACAAATGATCATTTTAGGAACATTTATATAATGTTAGGTGCATTTATAAGTGATCATTTAAAAATACTACAAATGTAATTTTAGGTACATTTATATAATAATGAAGTATAGTTTAAATACTCCCTCTTTGCCATTGGACTATGTCAATTTTTCCTTTTTGATTGTCCCAAAAAATATTCTCACTTTTTTATTAAGTTAAATAATTATGGTTCAGTTCATTTCTCTCTCGTCTGCACAAACTAACTACACAAATATCACTTTTTTTTACTTTTCATCTAATTGTAACTTGGCAAAGTTTACCGGGACGAAGATAATATTATTTTTAATATTAAAATCTCATTTACTTTACATCTTCTACTGCCGTAGAGTATTTATCACAACAATTTCCGCCAACAACGATTGAGTAGTTGTCAAAACTTCGAACGCCACACGTCAGACCTTTCAACCATCGCCAGACAGTGGTCGAAAGACCGTTACCACTAGACCTCAATTAAGAAGGGTAAGCAAATCCTTTAAATGTCAACCTTGGCTTTAAGAGGAACTGGTAAATTATACGTTTTTCATTTATTAAAACTTTGCCAATTTTTCCTTTTCAGTTGTCTCAATAACTTTGTCGCTTTCTCTTTAAATTAAAAAAATTGTGATTCTTGTTAATTCTTTCTCCTCTACAAAAACCTCATTCTCACAATTTTTATTTTTTTTTGTTTTGTGTCGGTTAAACTTAGCCAAGTTTTGCTTTCACATTACAGGAGTTGTATTTACGTTTTTGTTGGTTTTTAGGTCTTTTCTTAATATGTTGGCTTTAAAAAATCAACTTTATAAAGTTTAGCGCCTAAACAAAAAATTGAAATACGATAGTATATATTACTCTGTATAAAAGATTCATGAATCGAGTGATCAATTTAGTACACCGTATAAGAAGATGGTATTTATTGTTGGGTGTGTTTCAGAAAACAAAGAAAAAATAATTTAATAAATTAGTTAAAATGACTAAAGAAAATCAGAAATAAGATGGAGCAGAATTTAGCCAAAGCTCGTGCTACCCACGATTTCCTTAAAAGGTATTCGTTGCCTCTCTAGGTGCTAGGAGCGGTGCAACGATCGTTTCCCAGGATACGATGACTACGAACAATTGTTTGAGCACTCAACAAATCATTCCAGCGAACGGAAACATAGTATGAACACTTAGGAAATTTTCGGAAAGCTGGAGGTGTTTTTTAGCTGAAAAATATGTGCAGATTGTGTATGATTGCATGTGTTGTTGAAAAGCACCTGCCAGCTATTTATAGGAGGATTTGTTGTGTGTTAACTGAGTTTTAATTGACCCGAACGTTGAGCATAAATGACCAGCACGATGGGCATGATTATGTCAAAAAAATGTCCATTTAAAGAAGCATTAAAAGATAAGAACGTTGGGCATTAACTGCTGTAATGGACCAGAACTGTTCTGGTGCGCGACCAGAACACCAGGTCTTTTGGTGTAACATGCGCAACCAGAACACCAGGTCTTCTGGTGTAACGTGCGCGACCAGAACACCCTCAGGTCTTCTGGTCCGAGCTCCGTAGCAGAGGACTTCTGTCCGAGCAGTTCTGCTGTGGAAGAAGTGTTCTGCTCGAGCAGCAGTTCTAGTTCCGGGAAAAAATAAAACGTTATTGGAAGAAACAAAAATTAAATCGTATCTTTGAAAGATAGTTGTGAAACAAATTTTAAGTATTTACTTAAAATTGATCGCAAATAATAATATGTGAGAATATCGGGTACAATCTCTAAATATGAATCCTCTGATTCTTCACTTGCAATTTGAAGTAATATAATTAAAGAATTTAATATAAATTAAATCTCTAATCCTTCAAATATTCAAACATTCTTCGAATCTTTGAATCTTCGTTCTTGAGATCTTCGAATCTTCGAATCTTCGTTTTTGAGATCTTCGAATCTTCGTTCTTCGGATCTTCAAATCTTCTTGAATAAAGAATTCAGATTGAAGGGCCTCCGGTTTTCAAGTGGCTTGATCTTCAACAAAAGGACCGTTTTATGGCTTAATCTCCTGTTTAAGGGCCTCCCGGGATATATGGCTTGATCTTCAATTGAATTTTGATTCAATCTTCATATGAATATCTTCAAATCTTCAAAGATTCGTTCTTCATATCTTCAAATCTTCAAAGCTTCGTTCTTCAGATCTTCAAATCTTCAAGCTTCGTTCTTCAGATCTTCGAACGTTCTTCAACTTTTTGGCTGTGTTTGATCAAGAATAGATGAAAATCACAAAGGATTAATCATATATTCTTGACAAAAATGTGGCTTGATATCTTCCGATGTTTCGGAATCCTTCAGAGCCTTTCGGGAGTTCTTCAGAGCTTTTCTGCAGCGTTTCTTCGACTGGAAGTTCTCCTCCCTTCCTCTCAACTGAGACTTCTATTTATAGGTGTGGAGGGGGTGAAAATATGGTTTAGGATTGGAGATATTCGTCCATACCCTTTGGGCCTCAATTAAAATGGGCTTTGGGCTCTATTTCCTTGGATTTTAATAGCTAGAAAAATCAGCACTTGTGCAATGTACCTGGACAACTTTCTTAACAAGGTTCGGAGCTATTTCTCATGCATATGGACATATTTCTTAGCCAGGTTCATTGCTCTCTTTAGCAATAGGGGTCATGTCTCTTATACATTGAGCCACTATTTGATAATGGACTCAAAATTAATACGACCGGTCCATTCTATCAAAAATTTAGTTTATAATTAAATTAATTGGATATTTGAGTGCTCCGAATTAACTTAATCACTAAATTTTATTTGAATGGATTTGTATATCATTCACGAGCAGTCCAATAAAATCTTATTTTGGCCCAATAAATTCAAAATAGGTCCAATACCACATATAATAGTCCAACTGAATCTGAGATCGGTCCAATATCATTCAGAAGAGACGTAATCATAATCGACCCAATAATTTTATATGTCCACAATAGTGTTTTGGACATTTGTGTTCGCAGGTCGCTCGCGCATGC